AGTACTCCATTTTATAAAAAACCCCCACATCTTCTTTATCCAGTCTCCAGGTGATGGGCACTTGGGCTGCTTCCAAGCTTTAGCTATTTCAGACTGCACTGCTATAAACATGGGAGCACATATATTGCTGTGGTATGATTCTTTTAATTCTTTTGGGAGGAATAGCAGAGGACAGTTGGATCAAATAGGACCTCTGTTCCAAGTTTTTTGAGGTATCTCTATATTGATTTCCACAGTGGTTGCACCAGTCTGCACTCCCACCAACAATGGAGAAGGATTCTTTTCTCCCCACAAGCGTGGTGACATTTTTTAGTGGTTGATTTCTTGATAGCAGCCATTCTTTCGGGGGGTGAGTGGAATCTCAGTGTTGTTTTCATCTGCATCTCTTGAATGACCAGTGATGTTGAACACTTTTTCATATGTTTATTTGCTGCTTTTACTTCTTTGAGAAATGACTGTTCATTTCAGATGCCCATTTTTGGATTGGGTCTTTCAATTTGGGAGGACTGATTTTTTTAAGTTCTTTATATATTCTAGATAGTAGTCCTTTGTCTGAGCAACAGCTGATAAAATTTTTTTCCCGCACTGTAGGCTGTCTTTTAGCTTTGTTAGTTTCTCTTGCAGCACAGAGGCTTTTTAATAAGATGAGATCCCAATTTTTGATTCTTTGTGCTAGTTCCTGTGCTACTGAGGTTTTGTTCTTAAAGTCTTTTCCTATGCTCATGTCTTCAAGAGTTCTAGTTAACTTATCTTCCAGCAAGTTTAGTGTTTCTGTCTTAATATTTAGATCTTTAATCCACTCTGATCTTAGTTAAGTGCATGGTGATAGATATAGGTCTAGTTTTAATCTTTAGCAGGTTGAAATCCAGTTTTTCCAACACCATTTGTTAAATAGGCTATGTTTCTTCCAGTGAGGATGGTTGGCTCCTTTGTCAAAGATGAGGTGGCTGAGTATGTCTGGAGCTGTTTCTGCATCTTCTAATCTATTCCACTGATCCTCAGGACAGATGCCCATTTTTGAATTGGGTCTTAAGTTTGGGGGGGGGGTCTGACATACTCACTCATAGAACATATTTAGGTAAGTGCAAAGGAAGTGAAGTAATCCCCTGTATATTATCAGACAATAGTGCAATGAAATTGGAGATCAATAGCAAAAGAAGCCTCAAAAACTTTATAGACACATGGAAATTGAACAACACACTTTGGAATAACCAGTGGGTCACAGAGGAAATTAAAGAAGAAATCAGACAGTTCCTTCAATTAAATGACAATGACAATACAACATATC